CTTGAACCTTCACCAAGTCATTGTATCTTGATAAACTTAAAWGGAGTTTGAAAATAATTTGTAGCAAATCATTGTGCATTTATCAGTGGTTCTTCTGCGAGAAAATTGTTTTGAGAGGCTGAGGCAACAGTTTAAAAAATAAACAACAGAAAAAAAAGATTTTGACATTCCTAAAATGCTAAAGTTTAAAGCATTTTGTATAGAAATCTGTATGTGAGTTCAGGAGGATGTCTCCATTGCATGTGTATCAAGTAAAAAGATGGTGGTAAAATGAGTTGTGGTGGTGATGGTGGTGGTGGACATTTGACATTTTAAAAAAGTTAAAGTTTTAAGTATTTCCTACTTAAAAATCAGTTCAGGAGGATTTTACTCATGTCTCTCAAGGAAAATATGATGGTTGAATCTGTTGGTGGTGGTGTTCTATCTGCGTTGTGTGATGTTCTGTATTTTACCTTTTTGGRATTGTACTCAAATCATGAAATTCTTTCTTCAYTGAGTTGAATTWGACTTGATTTTTGAATTTGATTTTAATTTTGATGACTTTCTCTCTTGTTTTAACTTTGAAAAGTTCCTCTTTACCTTTAACTTACGTTAAAAAAATGAATTTATGAAATATTTAAACTATGTTAAATTATATTAAATCAAGCGTATGTATCTCCAGCAAATTGAATATTTGTCAGAAAATTCTAATGTATGTGCTAAATATTCCATAAACATTATTCTCACTGCAACAATAATGACTGTATAATAATTACAATAATTGCACGGAATGCTAGAATGAGTATACCTTGTCCAAGTTCTTGTGGCTGATCACAAAGCAATAGGTTTTTGCCAAAGTTGGTGTGGATAGAGTACAGTGAATATAAGATCTATCCACCCCAGACTTGACCATAGTCTATTGTAGTGTGATCAGCCATGTGAATTTGGACAAGGTTGTTAGCTATGGTACAGAAATATTACTAATAGTAACTAACAGTTATAGGTGCAAACCAGTTATGTTGATTTTGAGCACTTTCCATCAAGTAGATGCAATCAGACCATAGAAACTRTTTTAACTTTTAAGAACTTGTCATGCTATCATAATGTGTAGAAATGGCTCCATTCTCTGATTGTGTCATCTTGATTGAAAGTGCTCCCATATTGTCATTTGTTCTCTATAGTTATTGCTTGACATATTATATTATTTCTTTTACTAATTTGATTAGACTTTGCAGGTTATCCAACATGTGGTAGACAAGGTAGACAAAACAATTGACTGGCAAAATTTTACAAGTTGCGATACAATTGGAAGTCATTAACTCAAAAATATCATGGTTTACATACATTTGTAACGAATGTCTGGTGTCTACGACCATGGCATTTTCCCTGATGGCAGGGTGCATGATAAGTTTAGGTGTCTGATATAATCATTCCAGTTGTAGGATTCCCTTTTTTCCCTCGAGGTGTCTCATGGTTATCATAAATTAATCCTCTAGTCACAAGGTTTGCACACTGTACTTAGTTTGCCAAAATGGCTAATGTTAAAAAGGCATTTGCACACCTTCCTCAGTCTTTTTGAATTCCATGGTTGAAGCACCCAATTGATGTAGGGTTAGTAGACCCCAACCTTTATGAATTCCATGGTTGAATCCAATTTTAAGATTTTGCGCACTGTACATAGAAAGACAAAATGGCTAATGTTAGAAAAGCATTTGCACATCTTTCTCAATCTTTGTTATTTCTTTTGGTGAAGCACCCGCTAGGGTTAGTTGAGCCCAACCTTAATGAATTCCATGGTTGAATCCAATTTCAAGGGTTTGCATACTGTACATAGAAATGCAAAAATGTTAGAAAAGCATTTGCACACCTTCTCAATCTTTGTAATTTCTATTGATGAAGCACCCACTAGGGTAAGTAGACTCCAACCTTAATGAATTCCATGGCCGAAGTGCATGGAGGATGTAGGGTTAGTAGACCCCGTGTTTTTGTTTTGTTTTTTTTTTATTCATTTTTTGTTTGTTTGTTTGTTTTTTGAAAGCGCTTAGTATTAGCTTATTTTTTTTGAAAGCGAAGTATCCCTATTCAAGCATTGGATGTTATGTAATAAGATTTGAATGCATGGTTTCTGTGCATCTTACATAATGAACTAATTGAAATGCAGATGAAACAAATTCCAGCACACTACTTACCTGGCGTTAGGCGTAGTGTATATGATTGTAATGTTTATTAAGTGACTATTTTGTGCCTCTGTTGTTACAGAGGGGGTATAGTGGAAATGCATGTATGTCTTATATTTAACAGGAAAGATCGATGGCACGACTGGCATTAATGAACTACAAMATGCATATTAGAGACCAGACATAAGAGAACAAGTGTAAAATCATATGATTAAATCTTGGATGTTGTGGAAGAGATGATTGCCCTACAAAGCAACTTGATAATGTTAAGAAACATTTTTCATTGTTACTTCCGACCTAATTTGTACAAAAACATGTAATAAATGGTAAGGTGATAAATGGTGAACAAATTTTGGTGAAAGAACTACGGGGAAAAAAAACAACTATGGAGAAAAATAATTGAATAGCAACAAATATGGACAAAAGCACTTGGATTGCACATCATTGTTGTGGTAGCATAGTCTACGATGCCTGTTGTAAAGCACTTGGTGCAAAAAATTGGTATTCCTGAAACATGGTTATGATTGCAATAACTGCAACTTGGTAAAATCTCTGAATCATTCAAAAGCTTGCCTTAATGTTTATCTCATCATTACCTATGTTTTACTACCATGATTATGCAATGAAATATTGGATTTGATTAATCGTAATCATATTCATTTTACAACAGATTTAGTTGTGCTAATTTATCAGTAAGAAAATCCTCATTTTAGATGACTGTAGGTTGCAGACACTCTTAGAAGGGTACCATTTAAATAAATGGAACTTTGCACAGGCAAAATGAGCATTGAACATTGAAGCTTTGTGTTATTCTTCCAACAAAATATGAGGCAAAGTGAAAATAGAGCTAGTGTTTACACCTACGTTTTATTCCACGGCACATGATAAATATTAAGGCAAGCTTTTTCTTTATAATTTAAGGAAAACTATTTGTGTTTACAAAATGTTATTGTAGTTGTTATTTTCAGGAGAGTTTAATCACCAGAGATGAGCACATTCAAAGTGAAATGAATACAAAGTCAGGCGAATGAAACATCGAACACCGCAAAGCTACATGTACACATGCAGCTATTTTCATTAAGGTTGTCCAAGATAAAGTAAATTTCGTGCAAAAATTCAAGTACAAAGTACATGCGTTGTATAGTGGAAATTCTTGGACATGTTCCATATACATGATAATGTTGTTTTAGTGGACACCCTTTCTGAAAATACCTGCATTTATTAGAGAATTATGACATACCATAGAATCCTGTGAGTYCCATCTWAAGTGGTGTAGCCAGTCCAAAATTTGKAATGTTACATTTAATGTGGTAAGACCTAGTAATGGTGTTTCTACTTTCAAGCATTGCGACCAGTTAAAAAAGGGCTATGCTCTTGTGTCTGCAGTACAGTCTTTGTCAGACCATATAGTGCCTTGTGGGGACAGCCATAAGTCCCATACAAAGGAAATGGTATGGTGTTGTGTTGACATTTGTCGTGTACACATGTTTACAAAAGACTGCAAAAATTTGTGGTGTTCATGGTATGATTCCTGGAATATATTGGGACTTAAGGTAACTTGCAGGATTCTATGGTATTTTTCTCCTATGTTTGTGCCAAGAATAAAATTGTTTTCAAAACCATAACATACACACACTACACACATTGCCTGATTGTTTCTGATTATGTTGGTTATATCAGACCCAGTTACAACTGATTTGAAAACTTAAATATAGTGATTATGATGGTGCATCAAATGGACGTGAAGTCAAAGAAGATTCTTGAAGTAGAGCGAAAAAAATCATGAAATAGACATTACTCTTATACAGCTTACTGCACTCTATTTACATTGTTTAGTATCTCTTGATTGAATAACTTCACTCTAAATGGTTATGTAATCAGTTGTAACTGGGTCCATTTCATTTGTTTTATTGTTGCGAAGGTAAAGAAGTCTCATCAACCATACTGAGAAAGATGGTGTTTTACACTGCTGAACTTTGCAAGATTCAAATATTTATTCTAGCTTGATAACTATGTGGTGAAAATGACTTGTCATTATTCGATGGAAAACAAGGAAAGACAGCAACGTTTTTCTTGCTGATTTTGAAGGATCAAATGAGAACAACTTTATCATTATTTCATCTGACTTCCATCGGTATTAATATTTGAAAAATTTGAAGGAATCGAACAAGTTCAGCAGTGTGGAATTGCATTCCATTGTTATCCTTGAACCACCAAACCTTTCTACACATTTTGATGTGCTTTTTGCATCCTGGACTTGGATTTTTGAATAGTGAGAGGTGCCCTTTCTTAACTTCCTTGAGTATTCTTGAAAGTAAACAGAATATTGAAGATCTGACGGAGTAGTGATTGCAAAACTAGACCCAAAAAAATGAAATTGACTTGGTGGAATTAAAAGATTTTGGATATCATCTTTCTCAGTATGGTAACTTGGGTGGGGAGGGGACATAATGGGTTTGGGGAGGGAGATTATCATAGGGTGGGGAGGATACTTTATGTTTTTGAGAATATTTTGAAAGATGGAACCGACGAAAAAGGTAAGTCTACAGGCTAACCCCAGTTCACACACGTGGTCACAAAACAAGTGTTTCAAGTTGAAGTTTTGTTGGATGCAGCAAAGTATCCAACTTCAACTTAAAACACTTGTTCTGTGATCACTTGTGTGAATTTGGGGAAGTCTGTATAGACTTTGCCTTTTTCGTCGGTTCCACCTTTTGATATTAATTTTCCCTTAAAAAATCTTATTTACTTTGGTTCTTTGGTTTGAGACTTTGATAAATTGACTTAGTTTTTTTTCACTTGTAATTTTAACTTAGTTATAATCTTGTTTATGAAAAAATAAAGTTTGACTTTAGTGTCTTTAATGTATTCCATCTCTATAGGGTACACGCCCATTTGACTTTAAAAAAGAAATATGCCTCCCCGAGACCCCACCAGCACCAATTCTCTTGCCACCCCACAGGCCTAATCCATTTGGTAGTCCCGCTGCCCTGACTAGAGCCAAGTTATAAGGCCAAGACCAGCAAACTTAAGACTGCCCTGATAYTGGAGACTGACTGYATGAATGCCCAACCTCCCCCCTCTACAGACTTCAGGGGGGGACTCTGATGTCATTCAAGTTGGCTATAATGGTGAGGGTCGGTGCAAATGTGAGTCTCCAGTGACCCYKCCCYACCATTCACTGGTGTGTGTGACAGTGATGCACTGTGTGATCAATAGGCTCATCACTTCGCAACATTCAGACAACTCCGCCATAAGTTCTGATTATCAAATCTGACAGGAAAACTAAAACATTTCATTCTGGGATAATAGAGCGGGTTAAATGCGAAGGTCTTAACCGATAGGCCAACTACCACCATGTAATTTAATTGGAAAAGTCTAGAAGTTTAACTTTAATTTACTTTGCCACCATTTTGAATTGATTAACATGGAAGCCATTTTGAATCAATTAGCCTGGAAGCCATTTTGAATTGATTAACATGGAAGCCATTTTGAACAATTAGCCTGGAAGCCATTTTGAATTGATTAGCCTAGACAGAGGCCATTTTGAATTAGCCTGGAAGCCATTTTGAATTGATTAACCTGGGAGCCATTTTGAATTGATTGATCTGGAAGCCATATTGAATTGATTAGCCTGGACGCCATCTTGAATATCTTCTGATAGCGTTACGTCTTGTGTACTCAAGAGCCTTGTATCTCATGTAGTTTTAAGTTTACTCCTTACCCATACCGAGTTAAGATTAGATTGAGAAATGGTGGCAAAAAAAAGTTGAATCATTTTAATATTAGCCTAAGATAGTTTTTTCACCAGCAAAGAAACTTGARACAAGTGAAGTGCCGTAACAGTTTAAATAAACTGGCCGTATAATCTTACTACCAATATCAACATGGAGCTTTATGTAATCATAAACTGCATCAGTCTTGATGGCTTGTTGGCTCAATTATTGAATRCACATCATTTACTGTGCTTGTAAATATCCAGCTATATTGAGCAGCTTTATGCTCCATTTCAATTACCCTTCTGTTATTGGTTCTATCCAATTACTAGAGCACTTCATTTCCTTTCAAACAGCCCAAGGAACAGTTTCAATGCAAGGCTGAATCATACTCTTCTTGAAAGTGCTTTCTATATATACCTCAAAAATTCATAGTTTTCATCACTTCTCAGTGACAGTACTTGATTTTGGTACTTTCATAAGCCATCTATAAAGCATTTTATATAGTCTCACATGTTTTCAAATGCTTTGAATTGATATTGCAAAGAAATAGTTTGTTCTTGGTGGCCATAAATCAACATGAACACACGACAATGGAAAATATTTTAGAAGGTTAATAATTTTTTGAAGACCTCAGCTCCATTATTTAGTTTATTTGATGTTTAGGGATTGACGGATAAAGCATGATAAACTTGGATAGCACAGGTAATGACTAATACATTTGTGCAGAAGGATTGTACGAGATCTAATTTTTGGGATTTTTTGTAATTTTGAAAATCCCTTTTTATGCTCGATATTTCATTTAATACAAACCATACATTTGTACATTTGTCTGCTCCAATAATTTTCCTCACTGCAGTTGAAGTATGTCGCAAAATKGCATTTAGTTAAGTAGTTCAGTTGAAGTTTAATTCATTGTTCAAAGTATCGGTTTAGGTAGCTGAGGTCTTCACTTTGCTGGTGAAAAAACTTCAATTAAATTGCAATCTGTGGTAGAGACCATTTTATCAGTGCTGCCAACAACATTTAAACCCACAATATTATCCCAGAATAGATCCCTTTTCGTTTTCCATGTCAGTTTGATAATCACTTAGTTTGGAGAAGTCTGAATGAAGCATCACTTCAAGCCTACTGATCACCCAGTACATCACTGTCATGCACACCAGTAAATGGTGGGGCAGGGTCACCGAAGACTCACATTTGCACTGACCCTCACCTTTTTAGCCAACTTGAATGACATCAGAGTCCTCTCCTGRAGTCTGTAGAGGGGAGAGGTTGGGCATTCATGCAGCCAATCACCAGTATCAGGGCAGTCTTAAGTTTGCTGGTCTTGGCCTTATAACCGATTGGCTCTAGTCAGGGCAGCGGGACTACCAAATGGATTAGGCCTGCTGGGGTGGCTCATGCCAGGTGCTGGCAGGGCCTCGTGGGAGGCAARTCAAGTTTATTTCATTTCCAAAAAAAGCAGTAGATACAGGAGAGTGCCTGATTCGGATAAAAAATCAATCCTAACATACATCCTACCAAAAACTCTTTCTGCGGTCAAAAACATCTAAGGCTTCATTGAAGCCCACCTATTATACTGACCCTTAGAAGGACACTCTCCTGTATCTACTGCTGGGGCTGGAGGACTGGCATCTAAGACCTGTGTCTTSAAAASTGATCCTGTKTCTTCAACAACGATCCATTGTTGATAACTTAAACTATGACCTAGAAGTGCATTCAAATGAAGAAGAATTTTACTTTCTTGCTTCATGGAAAACTATACCCTAAGAGAAAATAGGCAATAACTGCTAATCCTTGATTATAAGCCAGCCCCCCAGCCCTTTTTTTAAATTCTAGTCTTGGTGGTTTCCTTGRATTCCTTGGAGTTTGTATGACAGATCTTTGAATTCTAAAAACAAAGAAACAACGTGGTTAAGAACATGAACCAACTGGTCTCAACTACAGTGATGTGTGCCAATACAGCACATATGTCATGAGTACTAAGGTACTTACTGGTCTGTCAATCAAGTGAGGCCGTTTACTGCTTGACTGTACTTCTGTACTTTTTCTGTCAAGCTGTTGAAAACAAAAATATKTGTTGTTAAAACACACATGCAAATTCACTTGAGATATAAAATGGGATAATTTCAATTTTGCAACAACAGGGCATAAAAAGTTTTATCTAGTACAGTTCTTGGCTGGGTTTTTCAAAGCCTGGTAATCCAGGGTTAACTCCATAACCATTTTAACAGTTAACCCAGGATTAATGCTAACTAAAGTTCGAAACTGGCACTGAATTGTGTAAGGATGAAATTCAAAGAGGCCATAGCACATAATCCATATTCTGCAAATACTTACCTATATATGCCATTAAGGCAAGTCCACTGACTGACTATTATTGTCAGCCATATTTTATTATCATCGGTCATCACATGCAGCTTGTTTACTTTTGTACATTTGTACTTTAAGATACATTATGTATCTTGTTGAAGACCTGTTTAAATAAACGATAAAATATACATTACTAAATATTGTAAATAAAGAGTTGTGTCTATTGTGCGGTCTGAAATCGACACAATAAAAACAAGAGACATTGTAGTTGGTAAAAAAACAACATAACAATTTGTATAAAAACTCTCAAACACAGCAGAAAAACACACAATTCGTCCCTCAATACATAAATATTACAGAATTATCAAGAAAACGTCAAGAAAATAATATTCACAATGAAAACACGCGATAAAGCCAATCAAATGCAGCACGTAACGTGCACAACATTCGTCACACAAAACACGTCCAAAACCTCATATTTTAGAACAATTCTTACCTTTCTTTGCCTTCAGAACGCCCTTCAATGATTTAAATACTCTTCTATGCCAATATTTAGGCATTTTTCCTTTTAAAACATTGAATTTTTTCCATTTTTCAAGCACTATTATAAAGTTGCTTTTATGCTGCACGTGTGACCGTGCCATCGTGTCACGTGATTGGAGGACTGGGGACTAGTAGCGCGCCACGCGCGCCAAAGCATTTTTGATTCATTTTTCGTCAATTTTCAACCTTAAATCCAACGAAAAGACATATAAAACAAAGGGAAAATCTATGGGATGATCTATTATTTTCGAATACTTTCATTTAATGCGTGAATTGTGCGGCAAAATGTGAGTTCTTCGGTCTGCGTCAGTAAGTGCGCGCATCGTCCGACACCACAAAACTTGGTTTTATATTAAGAAACATGCATTCATCAAATWGACCTTTACTAGAAATACAACATGCATACATTGCTTGCAAGTAAGGATTAGATKATTACAGAACAAATAAGCACACAACGCATATTTTTAAACAGATTTYATTTTAGCTCAGAAGTTAAAATTACTGAGTCTATCGAGTAGTTGTAGCTTAAGTCTAACAGAGTGAASTTTCAAAACCTTTTGAAGTCTCTAATTTTATTGKGTTTTAATTTGATTTGACTATTTTTCATCCTAACGAWTGARATTTTGCCGCACGGATTTATATTGGTTTCAAACCTATTAAATTGCGTYTGATCCGGCATGCAACGCAAGCTCWTYATGCCATAAATCCGTGAAACAAGTACATATTAGAGTCTACTGGTTTAGTAAACTGATATGTAGAGAAAAATACACTAAGCTATACAAATGGCACGAAATACCTAACACATTGTACTTCAGGAAATTATATGTTTTTTACAGTTATATTTCTTAAATTAGACTGCATCACTCAATTCAACAATGAATCATGAGATAGCTGTACCTCTATAATACGGACAACTCAGTAATACCGGTGCTATATTATGCACACCTAAATACCCGCATAGCATATTCATAATACCCCCTCTATATGTCGGCCAATATTTTATCATTATGRTTACTGACTTCTATAAGTTGACATTGAAATCCGACCAGTAGTCAACCCCCAAAAATACGGTTGCAAATAAATTAAGGTGTCCGTTTTAGAGAGGTTTCAACCTCTTCTTCAACCTCTACTTGCTACAAACAGCACAGGTCAACTCCCGACCATTAATGTACTTATTACACGGTAACGACCCACACCTCCCCTCCACGGGGTACAATAGGGCGCCATTTTTATTAYGTGYACYCCCAGGGATTGCCTCTGCATTCTCATCCACACAAACAAACTCAGAYGGGTGATGATTGCGKGATGCTGCCATTAGGTAACCATGGTAATCGCGTGTCCATCCCGCGGGACATTCATTAGTTGCCGGGATCATGAGGTTGACATTGCGGGTTGTGACGTAACACACGGCACATGGTGCATCACTGTCGTGAAGGTTCTTTTTTGTAAATGGGTTGAAGTGTTTGACTTCGTACTCTGTACCATAAACAGATCCACTTAGYCCTTGTACCGACGCCTTGAARCGTCCGTATTTAGGGTTGTCAGGCAGGCAGAGGTAGTTGGTTCCGCCTCCTCGRGATGCGTACAGCTCTCCCCCCATCCGACCTGAAGACAAAATAAGCAAACATGAATATACGATGCATTGAAGTTCTAGTAAAAGACCTCGAAGTTAGGCACAATTGCGTTGTATGGCAATCGCAACTTCTGGTACAACATGCAATTTACAAGCGCCAAAACCTTGCCATGAGGAGTGTAGATGTGGAAGGGAAAAGATTCATGTTGATGGCAGTTCGAAGCGGTCAATATATTTTAACTAACATGGTTTGTTTTAGGGTTAACTTGCGCATTCTTGTGTTAGGCATCCACAAACTAAATGCTAAGGCACGGCACATGTCTTATAAGCTGCCTATTGAAAATAATCGTGTGTTGACGACGAAGATACGAAAGGATATGAACAGATAAACCCTCAACAGACAAATAAAAACAAGGAAAACAACAAAAGAACTTGTGTTAAACAAACCTGAGTAAACAAGAGTGCTGTTCGCGCCGCATTTTGACTTTCCCCATCGAACGTACATCAGACCACCAGAACGATCACCCCTGGGTCCTTGGGCACCTCTAGGTCCTTTATCACCGCGCTCACCTATAACATGATAATTGTATGATGTCTATAGCATTTAGGGCATGTACTTGCAACGAAGACCTTTGGCCCAACATGGATGGGCTCATGCATTGGTCAATTTTTCGCAAAATTATATTTGGCTCGGCAGCATATTTCGATTTTATTGAGTCCAAGTCAAAACCTTTCAACGCCAGATGCAAATACTCATAAGTTGATCCATGTAACAGCATCAGCATTAACTTTCTGCGCAACATGAAGGCGAAAAAAATGGCAGAAAATAATCGACCTCTAAAAGCACCAAAAAGTTAGGTGACAACCGATGCTATTCAACCTTTTCTTCGCCGAGTATAGTTTGCATAAATGTTGGGTTAGAAAACAATATTTGTTATTTTGCTTGCGCACATTTTCTGGCCTTCAATAAAGCGCATGTTGCGGGAAAAGACATGAATTTGAATTTGCGCAATTGGAAAATTGATAGTGATGTTGCTGCACGATGGGACCCTTGCAACATGATATCGCAAGTAAAGTTTGCACAAACGCAACTTATCCCGCTGCCATATTGCACGACATCAATAATAAAACATTCCTTCGAGCAAAAGTATTAAGTTGTCCCTTTGGATTCCAATACTTWACCTTTTTGTCCTGGCTTGCCGTCTTTTCCATCCCTCCCGTCTCTACCTGAAGGTGAAAATAGTATTGTATAGTACTGCAGCGTCATGTTGCGCGCCATTTCCTTGATTGTAGGGTGCCTTTTCCTGTACCTTTCTCTCTGGTCATCGTTTTATTCGGTTATTCCTAAATTGATCCTTACATCTTTTTAATTTCTTTTTTTATACTTGCTTATGACAAAACTTGACTGTTATTACCCGTATCCTTAGGGGTTTGGGGAGGCGGGTGGTTTCGATTCACTGATGCATAACTTCTTACCTAAACAAAAATTATGATATACGTACGCTAAWAACATCAACTTAACAACAGCAACAACAACAATTATAACAAACACAACAACATAAGCAACAGACAAAAGGAACAAGTTACAGCACCATGCGCAGTGCCATGCWGGGCTAACAAAGTTTAATTTAATGTGATTGACTAAAGACTTGTTGGTGATTTCCATTCTTTACCTGGTTGACCAGATGCCCCGTTGACTCCGGGAGGTCCTTGCTTCCCGTCTTTCCCGTCGCGTCCATCTCGTCCTGTTCCAAAAAATGAAGGGTTGAGTTAGGGTCGGATAACAGTTCGCATTAGGATCGTGAAAATTGCTATACAGATGTCAACAGCATAGATCAAGTAATTTAAAAGTTCAGAGTACAGTCAACTCTCGCTATTACGAACACCCTCGGTACTGTAATTTACTGTCCGCAATATCGAGGTGTCCGTTGTAGCAGAGTGTCCATAAGGCGAGAGTTGACGGTACTTCGTGTGCGAGTGAAGAGAGTAGCCTTTTAATTAACATTAAACAMTAAAACATGAGTACAATTCACAAACCCTAGACTCTATTCAGACCCCACTTGATATCAACTGTACCTGGTGTTCCTTCTTTGCCATCTTTGCCATCTCGACCATCTCGACCTGAGACAAGAGAATGATATCATTGCTTCGGCTGCAACATGACTGGAAAAAAACGCGCGCTTTGAACACTGTAAATTGGCCGTTATATAATTCGATGGAAATATCCGCTAAATAAAATTTAAAGAATTTTGGACAATTACATGGATATCTACACAAAATTCACAGAGTTTATAGAGTACTACCATCACGACTTCAGAAAAAAGATGAAGAGAAATGTTAAGCCTTACAAACTGATGAATTCTGCGCATTTCATCGATATATGTAGGAATAATTGAGGTAGATTTAAATGKGAAGTGAAAACCAAAGAAAAGGAAATTGAATGATGAGAGAAGAGCAATGCAAAAGAGAAAGCACCGTTGTTAGAGAGCTGATTAAATGAAACGTTGCAGGCAAAAAAATGAAACAAAACAGGTCATCATTTATAGCGTTTAAATACCTTTGAGTATAAAATTTTGTCTTGATTCAAGTTGATTTAATCTACAATTAAGAACAAAAATCAATTAACAAATACTGAAAACAATTAATATCATTAATTCTGATATGGTCTGACATCATGGTCTGCGCTATGTTATTATGCTCCTATTCGGTGTCATTTCTAAAATAAATATCTCTCGTATTCCTCGTTCACTATGATATCATACTTCATATTCGGAAATACGTCACGCAATCCGATGTTTATCTC